CGGAGTATACTTACTACTCGGTTGGTAACACGCACCGGGAGTAAAGGTTTTTGGAGCGGAACCCGCGCTGCAGCCCACCTTTACTCCGGGTGGGATTCCCACCCGGAGTAAATGTGGGCTGCTGATTCATTCCCACTTTTAAGCAATAGTCTTGTTAAATACAATAGAAATGCAATAGTTTTTGTTAAATACATAGTAAATTAAATAAAAGGCATAAAATTATTTTGTTAAAAATATGAATTTTCTTTTTGTTTATTGCACATAGGAAAAATCTATAACCTAAATTTTCGAGTACATCCTCACCGGTTCGGTTGCGAGGCTTGGTCAGGTGGTCTGCCTTCCCTTTAAAATGCTTGCCTTTCTTTCTTACTGGGGTGATTTGCGAGGAAGAAATCGGCGATGGCCAAGGTAGGTACGACCTTTTGACATTTTTTCAAGAATACACCTCTAATATCACCGAAGCGGTGTGTGCATGCATTATATCCCTTGTTTGACTGTTCCGAAAAGATTACTTAGAGCGGGCCAATCATTGATTATTACGAACAACAATGCTCGCAGATCAAAGTGTTCTGTTTGTACTCATCCCACACACGCACACCTTCTTTATTCCACAAAATGAGAAGTTCGTCAATAAGTGGTCTCGGTACACATCGATGTCATTGCCGGTTGCTTGGGCCTTGGATGAGCACAGCATCATAATAAACTTCCGCTTCATGCATAACCAAGGAGGAATGTTGTAGATACTTAGAGTAACAGGCCAAGTGCTATGACTACTGTTCTGCTCTCCAAAAGGATTGATATCATCTGTACTTAAAGCAAAACTTAAGTTTCTTGCGTCATTTGCAAACTCCGGGAATTCTCTGTCGATTGCTCTCCACTGGGACCCATCAGCAGGGTGTCTCAACATATTGTCTACCTTACGGTCTTCTTTGTGCCATCGCAACAATTTTGCATGTTCTTTGTTTCTGAACAGACGTTTCAAGCGTGGTATTATAGGAGCATACCACATAACCTTGGCGAGGATTTTCTTCCATGGACGTTCGCCCTCAACATCACCAGGTCATCTCTTTGATCTTATATCATGACGCATGGCATACCGGGCATGCATCCAATTTCTCGTACTCTTTGCCCGCAGTGCAGGATGCGATCATTAGGACATGCATGTATCTTCTCTATTTCTAGCCCCATAGGACAGACAACTTGTTTTGCTTCGTAGGTAGTGGCGGGCAATTCATTGTCCTTCGGAAGCATCTTCTTTTGAATTTTTAGTAACTCTCCAAATCCCTTGTCAGATACACCATTCTTTGCCTTCCATTGCAGCAATTCTAGTGTGGTTCCCAACTTTTTCTGCCCTGCATCACAAGTTGGGTACAACAATTTCTTGTGATCTTCTAGCATCCGCTCGAACTTGATCTTCTCCTTTTCACTTTCACATTCTCTTTGTGCGTCACGAATGACACGAGAAAGATCATCACCGGCTCATCTTCTGCGGCTACCTCTTCTTGACTTCTCCCATTGCAAAGTATCATTGAAGCACGCACCATCGGGAATAATATCATTGTCGTCCCATTGTTCTTCTTCACCTTCTTCCATTACAACACCGGTTTCTCCGTGCTTTGTCCAACAAATATAGTTTGGCATGAAACCCGACTTGAACAAGTGTGAATGAAGAGTCCTTGAGCAAGGATATTCCACCATATTCTTACATATGGCACATGGGCGCAAATGAAACCATCGCGTTTGTTTGCCTCGCCGCCGACGTAACAAAGAATGCACGCCGTCAATGAACTCTTGGGAGCGGCGATCAACATTATACATCCAATGACGGCTCATCGCATTACATGACATAAATACCATATTAAAACCTAGATCATAATTAATTATTTATACAACATGCGTGCCACCACAAAAGATACAAATTTATGAAAGCATCGCTACAATGTAGACAATCCCAACTACCACTAAAAGAACTAAAGCTAAAATACATTTCAAGAGCGGTAGGATTTCACGACCAATCTCAACTAAAACAGACAGATCCCCGATTGTGCAACATCTTTGGGCTTCTTCTTTGGATCACCGCCTCATTAGCCGTCAGATTCATCTTTGTTGTGCAAGATATTTTTGCATGAGTTCAACATACTCTTCCTCCCAGTAGAAGCCTGAACATCGTCCACTGCCATCCCACTGAAATTAAAACAAAAAATTAGAACTTTAATCACAACCATCATGAAAATAGGTATAAACTAACCATAATCATTAAATACGATAAAATAACTCACATTGCGATCCGGACACTTGTAGAAGATACGATCCTTGTTGGGACCCTCCTTCTTCACTCGGTACTCTATCATAATCTTCGTCTCATCACGACACTTGCCGCATGGAATGAGAGGGAGGCCCGGCCTAAGTCGCTTTGGAAACCCATGAGAGGCCGAGGACTCAGAAGCAGTTGCCATCTACTCTCTATACTCATTTTTTAATACACTATAAATTTCTTCTTTTATAAACAAATAAAATTAAGAAACTATAAAATTATCTAGATCTCTAAACAATGATATTTTTAATGGTCATTGTGTTCTCGTCTTTTACTGCGGCAGGTAAGTAATTCACATGATATTTCTGCAAATTAACAGAAGAATGGGAGTGTACACACATAACAGACTAGTGCGACGATATCGGGACGTGTGAATAAATAACCATCCATACTAGTTGACCTTGCTTACGTGATCATCTCGGCGAGCATTTCTCCACCGGACGGCACCGTACTTGGCCACGGAAGAGCTCCAATTCTACGAGAAAGGGAACACGGTATTCCACGACCGTTGCCGCTCTCCCTCGTAGAATCAAAGCTCCTCCTTGACGTCCGTTACCGCTCGGCAGAGAACGTGCTCGCCGAGATGAACACGGTCCGCAAGTTCAACTAGTATGGATTTTCTATAATTTTCTAACTATTTTCTAAGTTTATATTTATATATATACTACGTTTGGGTACGGTGATTGACAGACTACTGCGACGATATCAGGACATGTGAATAAATAACCATCCGTACTAGTTGACCTTGCTTACGTGATCATCTCGGCGAGCATTTCTCCACAGGACGGCACCGTACTTGACCACGGAAGAGCTCCAATTCTACGAGGAAGGGAACACGGTCTTCCACGACCGTTGCCGCTCTCCCTCGTAGAATCAAAGCTTCTCCTTGACGTCCGTTACCGCTCGGCAGAGAACGTGCTCGCCGAGATGAACACGGTCCGCAAGTTCAACTAGCTACTTTAACCTTATTTCATGTAAATATGCAAGCTTGAAGTGATTTTGAGCTCAAATTGCTTACAAATGAAAAAAAACCAAAATAAAGAACCATATATATATATAGTGAACAAAATGAGATAAGACAATAGTGAAAAATGAGAGTATGAGATTGGTAACCTTTACAACTGAAGAATCGACGGAGGAATCGAAGAAATCGATGGAGGAATCGAATAATGGATGGAGGAACAATGGAGGGAGGGAGGAAGCAAGAACACTAGTGCAGTGAGCTTCAAAATATGCTGAGCTCGGGCTCGGGGAGGAAGAAGGAGACGGCCGGGATATAAAGGGGGGACCTTTAGTCCCGGCTGGTGGCTCCAACCGGGACTAAAAGTAACTTTCCAACCCCGGGCGCAGCCACGGCCCGGGAGTAGACCTTTACTCCCGGTTGGAGCCACCAACCGGGAGTAAAAGTATACCTTTAGTCCCGGTTGGTGGCTCCAACCGGGACTAAAGGTCCCTGCCACCTCTGTCTGGCGCAGTAGCCGTTGGGGCAGGGACCTTTAGTCCCGGTTGGAGACACCAACCGGGACTAAAGGTATTTCTAATCCCGGGTGCAAAAAATTCCGGGACTAAAGCCCATTTTAACCGAGGATCAAAGGCCTGGTCTCTACTAGTGTAGACCTGTGCAGTTTGGTGGACTTGGTATCCTGGCATTGGAAAGGTTCAGCAGAGTGCTCCTTCTGCGCTGGCTATGGATGTCCTGGAAAAATCTGGAGCGGCCATGGGCTGGTATGTCGCTGCCGGTTGACGTGACGGACATCACCCTCTTTGCAGCTGTCACAAGAGTGACGATTCATAATGGTAAAAGGGCATTCTTCCGGTTCTCTAGCTGGATCGATGGATGAGTGCCATCAACTATATACCCACTCTTGTGTCAACCACAGCAGGAGAAAAAACATAACGGTCAGGGATGCTATGCTACAAGGAAAATGGATTAGCGACATTGCGTACAATCTGAATGCAATCCTACCGCGAGAATTCTTTGGTCTGTGGCAAAGTATAGAGTCGCTACAGCTGAACCTCAGTCAAACAGACCAAGCAGATCAAATCATTTGGTCCCTTGAAAGCTCTGGGAGTACTCTGCAAACTCAGCTTATAACATCCAATTCTCAGGACAAATTGCTTCCAACTTTCCCACACAGATCTTGAAGACATGGGCGCCGCCATGATGTAAGTTTTTCTCGTGGATCCTATTACAGGTCAGACTATGGACTGCGGCAAGACTACAGCTACTCGGGTGGAAGAACAACTATTTCTGCGCCCTGTGTGAGAGAAGCCCGAAACCTCTCTTCACCTATTCCTCGAGTGCCCATTCACGCGAGCTGTTTGGGAGGTGGTAGCTGTTTGGAGCAACTGCCAAAACTTACAACCATCGGGATGGTCCGATCACAATCAAACAGAAGATTTGTTTATAGCTTTGACACAAAAGGGCACAAAAACAGCGCATTCACTAGCCATTCTCACACTATGGCACATCTGGAACTAGGGCTCCTCGCGCTTGTAAGCTGCAAACTCTGAAACCTTCTTATATTAATACAAAGCTGGATAACCGGATCTTAAAAAAAATCAACTGACATGACTAAAGATAGCAGTAGTTGAAAGCACAACGTCTCACGCAAACTAAGCTAGCATAGCTTAGCTACTTATTACTCCCTCTGAAAACAACAATAATAAAACAAACGGGGGCAGTTTATGACTCCAATGTACTGTCCCTTGCTTCCTCAAATATATTGATCACTGTCGGGTTTAAATCCGGCGTCACCGTCAGAACTGGATCCTGTGGAGGACAATCGGCTGCCGGGTTCTTCTGGGCATTTAACTTTTTCAGATCTCTGACGAGACTCTCCAAGCATGCGCCGGCATCCTTCTTCTCCTTCCTTATCAGGTGCTCGGCAACGTCCGCAGGAGACATGTCAACCTGTTCCAGCAGCCGGTGTATCTCACCGAAGAGCTCGAAAAACTGGCGCTCGTCGATGTCCAGGTAGTTATGGGCCAGCACCTTGAACGCCTCGTAGCGACAGTAGGACATCTCGATGTGCATGTCCATCCTGCCTCGCCGGATCAGCGCTGGGTCCAGCTTGTCCTTGTAGTTGGTGGTGAAGACGAAGATGCGCTCTTCTTGGCAGCACGCCGACCATAGCCCGTCGATGAAGTTGAGCACCCCAGAAAGGGTCAGCTTGCTGTCTTCGTCGTCCTTCTCATCCTCCTTCTTCTGTAGCATGGTCTTCACGTCGCTCTGGTCGTCGGACTTCTTGTCGGCCTTCATGTCCCTGCGCTTGTTGATGAGGTCGACCGAGCAGTCAATGTCCTCGATGACGATGATGGATTTTCCCTTGGTCTCGATGAGGAGCTTCCGCAGCTCCGTGTTGTTCTTCACCGCCGTGAGCTCCAAGTCGTAGATATCGTAGTTCAGGTGGTTGGCCATGGCGGCGATCATCATGGACTTCCCGGTGCCTGGCGGCCCAAACAGCAGGTATCCACGCTTCCATGCCTTGCCGACCTTGTCGTAGTAGCTCTTTCCAACCTTGAAGGCGTTGAGATCATCCTTGATCTCCTCCTTTTTGGCAGGCTCCATAGCGAGCATGTCAAACTTCGCCGGGTGCCGGAACTCCACGTGGCTCCAGATCGTCTTGTGTCCGCCGCCGTAGGAGCTCCAGCTGCTGCTTGGGTTGTTGGTGAAGAGGCGGCGCTGGCGGTTCCGGGCGATGGCGTCACGTCCCTGGTCGATGAGATGGGGCAGGTAGCTGTCCAGGATGAGGTCGTGGAACCTTTTATGGAAGGCAACCCGGTAGAAGCGGCGCTTCTCGTCACCAGGCCGCGAGCAGATGATGTTGGACTTCGGGGACTCTGTGTCGGCGTACCACCAGAGCCTGGCACCACGGAAGGTTTCAATGATCTCCTGGTTGTCGTCAACCGACACCTGGGGCTTTTGCATGTGGCTCTCCAGCTCGGCCTTGAGCTTGCGCGCCCCAAGTTCACGGCACAAGTCCGAGAGGTAGGCCTCGACCACGACGAACAAGTCGCTGCGTTGGAAACGCTCGGCGCCGTACTCTGGGATGGTGATTTGTTTGTATGGGTTGAGGTATGCGCTGATCTTGTTGATCAACACTTTGATCCGGGATTGGTTCATTGCCATGGTGATGAGGGTAAATAAAAACGCCAGGGCTGATCCAATCCCGGCCCACAATTCCTTCGTCGCCATGGCTTATGGGCTAGCTTGGGTTGGCTAGGATGGAGACTAGGATTACCAAGGAAGCTCTTGATTGATGAGATCGAACTAAGCTAGGTAGTTCGCAGTGGCTTGGCGCTCCTGTTGTGTCGGTTTATATTTATAGAGACGATGGGAAGAGAATCTATAACTAAGACTCGGCTTTTAGCTTACTATACCTCAATCAATCTGGACCCACAGCAAACCATGACAAGTGGAGAAAAAAAAAAGACTAGACTTCTATGGGTCCTCCTAATTTCTTACTACACCCCTAAGGACAATTAGCCCTATGAACATCCCTATGAGCACCTCCGAAAATTTGAGTCCACAAATCTTAAGATTAACGAAGACACCATAAACGCTTTACTGTTGATGACAGGGCACATGTCTCTTACCACTTTAAGAATAGCGCAATTAAATTCTAAAATTAATCTAGGACAATGCGTAGGGCTGGAAATGGTCGGTGAAGATATGTTCTATACAAAAATGATACCTGTTCGGACGGAAACTCACAACATTTTTCAAATGAAGTATTCAGTGTCAACATCAATATGGTACATAGATAACTTTGAAAATCAAAATTTTAAATTGGTTAATGGTAAAAGGTGATCATAAATGATATCACTTTTTGGGAAATGATTCCTAGTAAAATGGATCTTCTATTTTTGTTTGCAACTCTAATAAATGTACCCCTGTTAAATAGAGGTCATGAATCCATGTTGACAAGTTCCATCATAACACCAATAAGTAATTTTATATGCAGTCCAACGTATTCCCACAGCAATGCGTAGCGTATGCTTCTAGTATCTTATATTTTAAAACCCCACTATAAGTTCTATGTTAACATGCAAGTCATCCACATCATTTCTCACTAAACTATGCACATTGTCTCCCACTAATACCACATCAGCCCACTAACTTTTAATCTATTAATGCAAGCCATCCACACCACCTTCACTAATTGCAGTTACAATTTATAATATACAAGGCATGTTTTTATTGTTATTTGTTTTGCCATTCCATCATCTTATAATTCGATCTAATTATTTTTGTTTTTTATTGAATTATTTCATTGTCATGTCCAATTTTAATAATAATCAATACAGGAACATGTAGAACTAATTCATACGTGCAACGATTTTATTTTTTAGAAATTTCTGCAGCAACGGCCCGGTAGTATCATAAATAGTATTATTCTATTTAAAGTTAGTCAATTTAAAATAGTGTGACTGAGAATAACAAAAGACTTGTCATCATATTGTTGTGTGTGGAAAAAAAGAGGCCGGAGATTCCGTGGTACTCCATCGTGTGTGAAGCATGTGGAGAGGTACCTTGAGTGCTTAACCCATTACCCGGTGACTTGGACACCATTAAAAGGAAAATGTTCTATGCGTCAGACTCTATATGCCATCGGTTCATGGGCATTGCTGGTCCGTTCGGTTGTGCACACCTTGAAAAATTCCTAGACTTAGCCGCAAGCATTGCCTGCTTTTGCTTTCATCACACAGACAAAACACAGAGGCATTAATTCTGTGTGAAAGGAGGAAGCTGCAGGTCCATGAGATCTTGTGCTTTAGCTAACGTTGATAGCCTGGAAGTATTCTTAAAGTGTCCACAGCCTGGAAATGATAAATGCTATTATTCATCCTTATAGGCAAAGCATGTGGGCTGGGAACCTTAAAGAACTGTGTGGTCCTTCATGCTTTGCACTTTTTAAAGAAATACTCACATTACAAGCAAGCATCACTTTGATATCTTCTCCTTGTGCCACACAAAAATGCACAAAGATAGATTCTTTATAAAATGATGAGGCAGCAGAAACTATATATATTTTATATTGTCTATTGTTAGATCAGAAATAAATAACTTATGTTAGACTTAGTCCCACATCAAAAACTGATGGTGAAGAGAACTAGCACAACATATAATTTCATTACAAAAAGGTTCTTTATGACAAATAGCGTTTCTACCGTGACAAAAGTTATTCATCATGTATGTTATCATCTAATAAGTGGAGCATGCTTATGGTTATAACAAACTGAGCCGGATCCATTTTGCACAGTAATAAGTGTAAAGCCCATGGTCAAAGAACCTAGAACAGCTTGGGGTCATATTGTGGTAGGGGAGCTCGTGAGTGTCTTCGAACGGTCGCACGAGTTTTGTCTGACATGGAGAGTTGGACTCGAGGCCTTGTATAACTTCTTCTAGAGATCAAATGGGTTGTGCATGATGTGAAGAGTTGTGTTTGATGTGTGATGGGGGAGATTATTAGGTTTAGTCTGATATCGAAAATTGATGATGGGAGCATAATGTATAAGGTAGTGCAACTCTCAACTATCAGGCTAGTCTTTTGGGTTGAGTTAGGCCTAGTCTTGGTTGGTTGTGGGATATAGTAGACTTATGCCTGATGTGGTGTTGGATCATGGGTATAACAAGCTAGATCGGATCTGCTGCGCACTCTAATAAGTCTCAGAGTCACATCATAACAACAAGAGAGTGTGAACATCTCGGAGGGTCACATGGGTCGTGCGATATGGATTGTTGGACTCAAGACTGGCATAACATCTTTCGAGATATCACAGTGGTGTGTGGATGAACGAGTTAGGTTCGATTCCAAATTGAAAATTGATGGTGTGGAAGCATATAACATATAAGATGAGACAATCCTCACCTACTAGACTAGTTTTCTAAGTTGAGTTAGGCCCATGGACTTAGTTTTTGTGGGCCTATTGTGATGTCGGCTTGTGGGTACAATGAGCTAGGTGGGATCCACTTCACACTCTAACACCTTTAGTGCTTATAGATCATTACCTACACACATTGACATGCAGAATGTGCATTGCTTCAAATACAAAATTTGTTGTTTCGTACCAAATGTCCCTTTTATAACCAACCTCCAAGGATTTCTTAGACATGGAGCCCCGCCAAATATGGTGAAACTAAACTCTAAATTTGTCTATGGTATTATGAAGCATAATCTAAATGACCCCATAAATTTGCATCAAAGCTGCTACCCCTTGCCATTACGATAGACATCCAAGCAACCTCTCAAATATATCCAAATTACCAACTTCTACTGGTGGTAATTTTAGCATTTATAAATTAATTTTGGTGGATGTTGTGGCATGCGATGTAGACAACTAAATAGATGTTAGTGGATGATGTGTCCGGTTGGCGTGTATATTATAATTGTATGTGCTAGTGGGGGTGTAATTGTATGTGATAGTGGATCTGCTCCGCTTGCAAGTGGAGATAGAATGCTAGTGGGGTTTAGAATTATAAGACACTAGAAGAATACCCCCACGTTGCTGTCGGGAATTGCAGATTAGTGGATTGCGTGACACGTTGACATGGACAATAAAATACTTGTGTGTCTTGCTTGACATGGATATTACAATTACATGGCTAGTGAATTTTAATTGTGTGTGATAGTGCATTGCCTAGTTGGATAGCTTGCATGATGAAAGAGATAGGTGACTTGTCGACGTGGATATTACAATTGCATGGGCTAGTGAATTTTAAGTGTGTGTGATAGTGCATTGTCTAGTTGGACAACTTGCATGTTGAGAGAAATAAGTAGTGGGATTTTGCTTTATAAGAGTATAAGATTTAGGTTTAGGATTATAAGATAGACTACTACAATAAACTTAACCGAGGCGGGTGTTTTTCATTATCCGAGGCGCACAAAGGCAACCGCCTCCATCACAAGGTCACGATTAATCCATGAATAACGGAGGCGGTTGCCTTGCCCGTCTCGGTTAATCGATTAACCAAGGTGGGCTGCTTACAACACCCGCCTCAGAATCGATAAAAAAATAAAAAACCCAAGCCCACCGGCGAGCTCGTTCCTGAACCCACTTGCTAGATCCGGTGAAGCAGGATGCCGTCGCCGCCTCCACGCCGGCCTCCTCCTCGCCTCCTTGCCGGATACTGCTGGCCCCTGCGCCTGCGCTGGATCCATGGCCCCGCCCCCTACTCTGGATCTGCCAACCTCCTCCTCTCCTCGCCGGATCCGCTAACCCCCTGCTCCAGATCCGCCCGCTGCTCGCCTATAGGAGAAGAGGGAGAGGGAGGGGTACTGCTCGTCGGCTGTAGATCTAAAAAGAGAGAGGGAAGAGTGAGGAGACGAAGAGGGGAAGAGAGAGGGAGATGGGGAGAGCTAACCTATCGCGCGCCGTCAAGCCCCGTGCCACAGTCGACGTTGAGCCCCGCGCCATCGTCGGGTCCAGATCTAGAGACAGAGGACGCCGCCGTCGCCTCCATGTGCTGCCTAGCCCGGTGCCACCACGAGCCTCGTGATCGCCCAGCCCCACGCCTGCAGGTCCCTCAAGGCCGCCACACCGCCTTTGGCTGCACGCCACTACTACCCGCCTCGCCACCAAGAGAGGGAGGGAGATGGAGAGAGAGAGGGAGGGAGGAGCCACTGAGGGAGAGGGAGTGGGAGGGCGCCGTGTGGGGAGTGGGAGGGGGCGGTGGGATGGGGAGACCGTGAGGGAGGGGAGAGGAGGCCGAGCGCTCTTTTCTGGTGGTTGTGGGGTGAGGGAGAGAGTTGAGTGTTTTAGGGTTTGTGTTTTCTTTTATATGCTGGAGGTGGTAGTGGGTGGGTGTGGGCTGAGCGCCTGGGCCTGATTTACTGAGGCGGGCCTTTAAGAGTGCCCGCCTCAATAAATGGATTAACGGAGGCGGATAGTGTAAAATGCCCGCCTTGGTTAATATCGATTAACCGAGACAGTTGTTTCTAGGGGACCTCCTCAGTTAATCGAGTAACCGAGGCAGTTGCTTTAAGAAGACCGCCTCGGTTAATGCTTATCAACCGAGGCGGTTATGTTACAACGCCCGCCTCGATTAAGTATTAACCGAGGCGGTTGCTGACCCGGCTGCCCTGCCTCGAATAACTGAGGCGGGCAACCAGGCAGCCCACCTAGAAGGCCATTTTAGAAACACTACGCAAAAGATTTTGTGTAGTAGTGATATGAAGATATAGATATACCAAA